TAGCTATTTCTAGGTACAAACACGTGCGCTGGAGCGCAGTTCACCATTTCACGTGTGTTCACGTCACCTACTTCATGAAACCTGTAACTTCGAATCGTCTGCGCTGGCTGCTGATCATGTTTATAAAATACAAAAATAAATGGATAGTAAAATATATATTGTTAGGCCTATATGATTTCATGTGTAATGTACATAAATATGTATAAATTATATATAATATTATATATGTATATAGGCTTATATATAATATATATATATATATATATATAGTTGTTTCTAGGTATATCATTTATGCTTATATAAAATCATATATAAATATATATATATATTCATAATTATGTATGAACTGCGCAGGGACATCAAAGAAAACTAAAGATTTCAAGTGAATAATGATAGTGTGTGTTGTTTACTTCTTTAATTGTGTTTCCCTCAATTCTCTTGGTATGTTTTATCCAAACTCTGGAAGCTGCAAGAAAAATAAATAAATTTATTGTAAAGAAACATAAATTTATTGTATAGAAACATCGGATTAAATAATGTAATGATTATTGTTTTAACTAAATTATGAAATAGATTTCAGATGGTAACATTCAATTAAAATCAAAGATACATTTTATTGACCATAATTATTAAATTATAGTATGAAAACGCAACAAAAAGAATAGCATGAAGCACATATTCAACTCCATGGAAGAAAGAAAATATGTATAATAATAATAATAATAATAGCAAACCGGAAATATAAAAAAAATACTTAGGCCTATGATAAACTGGGCGCTAATGCACTTTCGCACCTAACTTTTAATTCTTAATTTTTTTACCTCAACGTTCTTCTCACAGTCACAACATATAATTAACAAACATTTTCACCTGATTTAACCACTCACAAAGTACCTTTTTCAACAAAAGCCCACAAATAAGTACAGCGAATCTGTGTTCGCTAGCACGACGAGCGGCTGCCATTTTGCAATCAGTAAGAAATTGCCAGAATGTCTGAGTTTGCAGCGTGAAGTTTTTTGATTAAACGTTTTGAAAACTTATCTATTTGCCGTATTGTATGTCATTCTTTATATTGTATGGTACTGTTGTTCGACTATGTGTGTTCACATGAAATTCACACGTACAATAATTACTTTAAAAATTAGTAATGATCCAAGCATACACAGATCGAAAAATAGGGCCTAGGAGCCTAGGCCTAAATCCAGAAAAACAACTATTAAAGCCAATGATAAACGTCGGTTCGATTAACCTCGATTAGGACAAGAAACTTAGTTAAAAAAGATGGTACTGCATGATGCCACATTCTGTTGTCGGATGTTTCATGGGAAAATTCCAATTAAAATTATAAGATTGGCCTTTTAGTTTCAAAATTTAAGAACTGACTCGGACATTCTGGCAATTTCTTACTTGATTGCAAAAAAGTACAGCTCGTCGTGCTAGCAAGCGTGGAAACCCTGTATCAACCTATATTTATAAAGGTATCTTTTTGTTGAAAAAATGTACTTTATCAGTGGTTGAATCATGTAAAAATGTTTTATAATTATGTGTTGTGACTGTGAGAAGAAAATTCAGGTAAAAAAATTAAGAATTAAAAGTTAGGTGCGAAAGTGCATTAGCGCCGATAAACCGATTGACTAATTATAATTATATAGGGCCTAGCCTAGGCATATTAAATTTTGCGTTTTCCCAACTCCTTTGGCGCTCCATATATTTGATCGAAATAAACCGCGACCGAAATGATCGGCTACCGACAGGGCCTGCCTACCCTACACCTACCTACCTGGGTCAGTAGCCGATCATTTCGGTCGCGCTTCGTTTCGGTCGCGGTTTGTTTCGGTCGCGGTTTATTTCGAACAAATATATGGAGTGCCTAAGGAGTTGCGAAAACGAAAAATTTAAAATGCCTAGGCCCATATATTTTAGTTCGTGAATCGGTTTATCATAGGCCTAAGTATTATTGTTTTGCTATCTTTCCACTAACAAAATATCTTTCTGCTATATTCTCTTTCTTCCATTTACGGTGATATATTCATGATTGCAACATAATCTTGTAATTGAAACAATGGAATTTAGTATGTGCTTCATGCTATTCTTTTTGTTGCGTTTTCATATACTATACTTTAAATACATATTTCCTTTACAATATTATAATAACATGATCAGAACATTTATGGTAAATGGAAACGTAACAGACAAGAAAAAAAAAAACGTATGCGAAACTAATCTATTGAATATACATATTCCATAGATTTTTATTTGATTCAAGCATTAATATAAAAAAATTATATCAATATATATAGCAAGAAACAAAAAAACGTATCTCAAACTCGGTCAACTTCGTAACATCTGCGTTGCTTCTGTAAAAAAAAGAAAAATAGCACCAAGTTATACAGTAATATAGTAACAATAACAAACTTTAATACTACTAAAAATAATTGTTAATAAACTAATGTTTCAGTAATTTAAATGACAAATTGGCTGGTTTTTCCTGATACAATGTAAATAAATAAAAATAATAATATATAATAATAATATATAA